GGCTGTCTCTGAGCAGACGTTCTATCCACTAGACTACGGAGGAAGTCTCCAAGCAGACGCTCTATCCACGTGACCATGGAGGCAGTCTCCAAGCAGTCTCTGAGCAGATGCTCTATCCACTTGACTATGGAGGAAGTCTCCGAACAGACGCTGTATCCATGTGACCATGGAGGCAGTCTCCAAGCAGATGCTCTATCCGCCAGAACACGGAGGCATTCTCCCAGCAGACGTTCTATCCACGTGACCACGGAGGCAGTCTCCAAGCAGACGCTCTATCCACGTGACCACGGAGGCAGTCTCCAAGCAGACGCTCTATCCACCAGACCACGGAGGCAGTCTCCAAGCAGACGCTCTATTCACCAGACCACGAAGGCAGTCTCCAAGCAGACGCTCTATCCACTAGACTACGGAGGAAGTCTCCAAGCAGACGCTCTATCCACGTGACAACGGAGGAAGTCTCCATGCAGCCGCTCTATTCACCAGACCACGAAGGCAGTCTCCAAGCAGACGCTCTATCCACGTGACCACGGAGGCTGTCTCTGAGCAGACGTTCTATCCACTAGACTACGGAGGAAGTCTCCAAGCAGACGCTCTATCCACGTGACCATGGAGGCAGTCTCCAAGCAGTCTCTGAGCAGATGCTCTATCCACTTGACTATTGAGGAAGTCTCCGAACAGACGCTGTATCCATGTGACCATGGAGGCAGTCTCCAAGCAGATGCTCTATCCGCCAGAACACGGAGGCATTCTCCCAGCAGACGTTCTATCCACGTGACCACGGAGGCAGTCTCCAAGCAGACGCTCTATCCACGTGACGACGGAGGCAGTCTCCAAGCAGACGCTCTATCCACGTGACCACGGAGGCTGTCTCTGAGCAGACGTTCTATCCACTAGACTACGGAGGAAGTCTCCAAGCAGACGCTCTATCCACGTGACCATGGAGGCAGTCTCCAAGCAGACGCTCTATCCACCAGACCACGGAGGCAGTCTCCGAGCATACACTCTATTCACCAGACCACGAAGGCAGTCTCCAAGCAGACGCTCTATCCACTAGACTACGGAGGAAGTCTCCAAGCAGACGCTCTATCCACCAGACCACGGAGGCAGTCTCCGAGCATACACTCTATCCACCAGACCACGAAGGAAGTCTCCAAGCAGACGCTCTATCCACGTGACCACGGAGGCAGTCTCCGAGCATACACTCTATCCATCAGACCACGAAGGAAGTCTCGAAGCAGACGCTCTATCCACGTGACCACGGAGGCAGTCTCCAAGCAGACGCTCTATCCATGTGACCATGAAGGCAGTCTCCGAGCATACACTCTATCCACCAGACCACGAAGGAAGTCTCCAAGCAGACGCTCTATCCACGTGACCATGAAGGCAGTCTCCGAGCATACACTCTATCCACCAGACCACGAAGGAAGTCTCCAAGCAGACGCTCTATTCACCAGACCACGAAGGCTGTCTCCGAGCAGACGCTCTATCCACTAGACTACGGAGGAAGTCTCCGAGCAGACGCTCGATTCACGTGACAACGGAGGAAGTATCCAAGCAGAAGCTCTATTCACCAGACCATGAAGGCAGTCTCCAAGCAGACGCTCTATCCACTAGACTACGGAGGAAGTCTCCGAGCAGACGCTCCATCCACGTGACAACGGAGGAAGTCTCCAAGCAGACGCTCTATTCACCAGACCACGAAGGCAGTCTCCAAGCAGACGCTCTATCCACTAGACTACGGAGGAAGTCTCCGAGCAGACGCTCCATTCACGTGACAACGGAGGAAGTCTCCAAGCAGACGCTCTATTCACCAGACCACGAAGGCAGTCTCCAAGCAGACGCTCTATCCACTAGACTACGGAGGAAGTCTCCGAGCAGACGCTCCATCCACGTGACAACGGAGGAAGTCTCCAAGCAGACGCTCTATTCACCAGACCACGAAGGCAGTCTCCAAGCAGACGCTCTATCCACTAGACTACGGAGGAAGTCTCCAAGCAGACGCTCCATTCACGTGACAACGGAGGAAGTCTCCAAGCAGACGCTCTATTCACCAGACCACGAAGGCAGTCTCCAAGCAGACGCTCTATCCACTAGACTACGGAGGAAGTCTCCGAGCAGACGCTCCATCCACGTGACAACGGAGGAAGTCTCCAAGCAGACGCTCTATTCACCAGACCACGAAGGCAGTCTCCAAGCAGACGCTCTATCCACTAGACTACGGAGGAAGTCTCCAAGCAGACGCTCTATCCACTAGACTACGGAGGAAGTCTCCGAGCAGACGCTCCATCCACGTGACAACGGAGGAAGTCTCCATGCAGCCGCTCTATTCACCAGACCACGAAGGCAGTCTCCAAGCAGACGCTCTATCCACTAGACCACAAAGGCAGTCTCCAAGCAGACGCTCTATCCACTAGACTACGGAGGAAGTCTCCAAGCAGACGCTCCATCCACGTGACAACGGAGGAAGTCTCCAAGCAGACGCTCTATCCACTAGACCACGAAGGCAGTCTCCAAGCAGACGCTCTAGCCACTAGACTACGGAGGAAGTCTCCAAGCAGACGCTCCATCCACGTGACAACGGAGGAAGTCTCCAAGCAGACACTCCATCCACGTGACAACGGAGGAAGTCTCCAAGCAGACGCTCTATCCACTAGACTACGGAGGAAGTCTCCGAGCAGACGCTCCATCCACGTGACAACGGAGGAAGTCTCCAAGCAGACGCTCTATTCACTAGACCACGAAGGCAGTCTCCAAGCAGACGTTCTATCCACTAGACTACGGAGGAAGTCTCCGAGCAGACGCTCCATCCACGTGACAACGGAGGAAGTCTCCAAGCAGACGCTCTATTCACCAGACCACGAAGGCAGTCTCCAAGCAGACGCTCTATCCACTAGACCACGAAGGCAGTCTCCAAGCAGACGCTCTATCCACTAGACTACGGAGGAAGTCTCCAAGCAGACTCTCCATCCACAAGACAACGGAGGAAGTCTCCAAGCAGACACTCTACCCACTAGACTACGGAGGAAGTCTCCGAGCAGACGCTCCATGCACGTGACAATGGAGGAAGTCTCCAAGCAGACGCTCTATTCACCAGACCACGAAGGCAGTCTCCAAGCATACGCTCTATCCACTAGACTACGGAGGAAGTCTCCGAGCAGACGCTCCATCCACGTGACAGCGGAGGAAGTCTCCAAGCGGACGCTCTATTCACTAGACCACGAAGGCAGTCTCCAAGCAGACGCTCTATCCACTAGACTACGGAGGAAGTCTCCGAGCAGACGCTCCATCCACGTGACAACGGAGGAAGTCTCCAAGCAGACGCTCTATTCACCAGACCACGAAGGCAGTCTCCAAGCAGACGCTCTATCCACTAGACTACGGAGGAAGTCTCCAAGCAGACGCTCCATCCACGTGACAACGGAGGAAGTCTCCAAGCAGACACTCCATCCACGTGACAACGGAGGAAGTCTCCAAGCAGACGCTCTATCCACTAGACTACGGAGGAAGTCTCCGAGCAGACGCTCCATCCACGTGACAACGGAGGAAGTCTCCAAGCAGACGCTCTATTCACTAGACCACGAAGGCAGTCTCCAAGCAGACGTTCTATCCACTAGACTACGGAGGAAGTCTCCGAGCAGACGCTCCATCCACGTGACAACGGAGGAAGTCTCCAAGCAGACGCTCTATTCACCAGACCACGAAGGCAGTCTCCAAGCAGACGCTCTATCCACTAGACCACGAAGGCAGTCTCCAAGCAGACGCTCTATCCACTAGACTACGGAGGAAGTCTCCAAGCAGACTCTCCATCCACAAGACAACGGAGGAAGTCTCCAAGCAGACACTCTACCCACTAGACTACGGAGGAAGTCTCCGAGCAGACGCTCCATGCACGTGACAATGGAGGAAGTCTCCAAGCAGACGCTCTATTCACCAGACCACGAAGGCAGTCTCCAAGCATACGCTCTATCCACTAGACTACGGAGGAAGTCTCCGAGCAGACGCTCCATCCACGTGACAGCGGAGGAAGTCTCCAAGCGGACGCTCTATTCACTAGACCACGAAGGCAGTCTCCAAGCAGACGCTCTATCCACTAGACTACGGAGGAAGTCTCCGAGCAGACGCTCCATCCACGTGACAACGGAGGAAGTCTCCAAGCAGACGCTCTATTCACCAGACCACGAAGGCAGTCTCCAAGCAGACGCTCTATCCACTAGACCACGAAGGCAGTCTCCAAGCAGACGCTCTATCCACTAGACTACGGAGGAAGTCTCCAAGCAGACTCTCCATCACAAGACAACGGAGGAAGTCTCCAAGCAGACGCTCCATGCACGTGACAATGGAGGAAGTCTCCAAGCAGACGCTCTATTCACTAGACCACGAAGGCAGTCTCCAAGCATACGCTCTATCCACTAGACTACGGAGGAAGTCTCCGAGCAGACGCTCCATCCACGTGACAACGGAGGAAGTCTCCAAGCAGGGCCTGATACTCTCATTTTTACAGGTAATCTGACTGATTATTGGTCACACCTTGTTTATTGGAATTGTGTTGCACACGGCAACAGACTTTTCTTTATTAAATATGTCTTCACGCAATATTGTCTTTGACTATTTATATATTGCCATTTAAACTTTGAGCAGTAGAGATACTACATTGAGACAGAATACTGACTCAAGGCTGACATACAACTATCATTTAAAATATTGGGTACCCTCCGTATCCACTGCACCACGGAGGTCAGGGGTAGAACTTCTGCTCACTGGGCAGACATTTTTAGAAACATTTGAAACAAAAATGACTGCCCATAAATAGACTTTTTCAATTTTCATCATTGGTGGAGGAAGTACATTTGTACATGAATTATAAGCATGATTGGTCCTGTGGTTTGAAACGGATGACACACGATTCCGGACACAAAACGCATGCCAGGCACCAGACATACAGGCCTTGATGTAGGCTCACTTAAGATTCAGTCAGGTGGGCTAATAAAAAAAAAACTCAATTGATTTTTCTTTGTCTTTTATTAAAAATATTAGCTGACAGCTTTCAGCTCCACTTCGAAGACCAAGGTGCTGTTTGGTGGAATAGGCCCCTGCCGCTGCTTCCCATATCTGAAACATAGATGTTACCATGGTAACACATGTCCCGAGTTGGTACATGTCAAACAGAACAGATGGAAACTAACAGTAAACAAACTCTCCAAATGTCCACAGTGGACCAGTAAACATCATGTACATTGTCCTCCATGCAACAAGACACAAGTGATGAGGATAGTGGTACCAGGAGATCCAGAGGACATCTTGCCCAGGGAGTGGGGGCGGTCTTCACCTCATCATGCATGTATACATGTTTACATATCAAGAGTAATGGAAAAACTTATGTCACACTGAAGAGGACGCAGTATAAATATAATTCTAATTTTCTCAACACTATGCTGGCCTGACTGAATGCCCAGGTTTCCAAAACTTGAAATTCCTTTTATGAATTGACACATCCACTTTGTACCTACCTATGATGTCAGAACATATATACAAAGTATTATTCTTGAAATGATGAATCAAGGTCAAAATGCATACAGCCCCACGACTAACTACACCTATGCCAAATTTCGATATATTTTAATCAAAAGATGGCCAATTAATAGATCCGGCGACCATGTTAAAAACAATCGGGTCACAATTGTGAACAATTCTTAGCGACGTTATAGCCGAGATGACTCATATAGCTACATGGGCCGGAGAGTTTCAGAGGAGACGACAAAAATGTAGTGACACTTGAAACATGGGGTACGTGAAAGTCAAAGGTCAAAACTGTGCTGTGTATTATTCCTGAAACTACACACTAGTGAAGCACTCACCCCATTGTTGGCGGTATTACCAATTTCCTCTTGCCTCCGACCTTCATTCCTGAAACACAAAAATCAACAAATCCTCAAATAAAACGTATCTTCCTTTAGTTAAATTATTTTGGATTTTCTCTCAATGAAATGGCTTTTGCCATAATTAAAAGAGTGCAATCGAAATGTTACTGAACAAGATTTTTCTGATGGATAACAGGCCATTTACCATTATTTTGAGAATATTTCTTCCATCACTTGAATATAGACCACTGGCTTAATATTTAAAGGTATACTGTATCGATGTATCAGTGTATCGATGTATCAGTGTATCGATGTTTCGATGTATCGATGCATCGGTGTATCTATGTATCGGTGTATCAATGTATAACTATATCGATGTATCAGTGTATCCATGTATCGGTGTATCGATGTATCAGTGTATAGATGTATCAGTGTATCGATGTATCAGTGTATCCATGAATCGGTGTATCGATGTATCAGTGTATCGATGTATCGATGCATCGGTGTATCTATGTATCAATGTATCAGTGTATCGATGTATCAGTGTATCCATGTATCGGTGTATCGATGTATCAGTGTATCGGTGTATCCTCTGTACCACTACACAACTCACCACTGACTCCAACATCCCAGCCGCGTATCACTTCACCCTTGCCCATCTTAAACTTGAACGGCTTCCCACCTTTACAGGAGTCGAACTGTTTGCCATCTTGTAGCGTTCCGACATAATACATCTGGGCCTGAACACAACACATCACAATGAACGGAAAATAGGGACTTCATTTGAAGAAATGTAACAAAGATTTATCCTTGATGCCGATCTCAGATGTTAACTTGGTGCTGTTTGTTTCTTTGTTTGCTGTTTATGTCGCACTCAGCAGTATTCCAGCTATATGACGGCGGTCCGTAAATAATCAAGTCTGAACCAGACAATCCAGTCATTAATATCATGAGCATCAATCCACACAATTGGTTGGTTGGTTGATTTGTTGTTTAATGCCGCACTCATCAATATTCCAGCTATATGACGGCCGTCTGTAAATAATCGAGTCTGGACCAGACAATCCAGTGATTGACATCATGAGCATCGGTCACACAATTGGGATACAATGACATGCATCAACTAAGTCAGCGAGTCTGACCACCTGATCCCGTTAGTCACCTCTTACGACAAGCACGGTCACCTCTCATGGCAAGCATTGATTGCTGAAGACCTTGTCTACCCCGGATCTTGCCAGGTCAATGTGGTGCTGACACACCCGAACACATGACGGGGAATCCGGGCTGTGTGTGTGGACACCCCCAAGGGATGCAACTCAACACAGGGAATTATGTCACCTTTATCCCATGTTTTCTTTCGAAGGTGAGAGAAATAATTCACCTCTAACATGTCTAAAATACACACATGAAACAATACACCTCCAACACACAAAAAGAACCACACAATTTCGGCAGGATTCATGCTAGTCTTTCAAAACCCATGTTCTTTCCTTACCCAAATGTTATGATGTTTAACAACCTAGCAGTCAATGACTATTGCACCGTGTTGCAGAGACAATATCCCACTGCTATCGGACAACAACCAGGTGGATAACAGCCTGAGGTCCTGAGGTCCTGAGGTCCTGATCATGCAATAATGTCTCACCTGTTTCCCTGACTTGGCTTCTGGTCCATGTCCGACTTTGATATCTTCAACAATTACTCCACCAGCAAAGAATTGCTTCTTCGGCGTCTCTTTAGGGGTCTGACCGGGTGTTGGTTTTGGAGTGTTTTTAGGGGTCTGAGCGGGTGTGGGTTTTGGAGTGTTTTTAGGGGTCTGAGCGGGTGTGGGTTTTGGAGTGTTTTTAGGGGTCTGACCGTGTTTGGGTTTTGGAGTGTCTTTTTTTGGTGTGTCTTTTGTGAGGTTATTGGCTGATGACTTCTGAAAACACAATGTGCAAAAAGGGTGAGAGTGGCTACTATAAGGTGTTGATCTCAAGATGTCTCACTTGAAACAGGAAAGCAAACACTCCAATTGATAACTCTCCAAGTCTACCCACAAACAATGTTTTTTAGTTTGGACACAAACTCCACATATGTTACTTTGAGAAAACACACTGGACAATAACGGGTCTCTTGACTAATTCCAGCTTTGACAAGATAGATTGTTTAATGTCACACTAAGACAAACTCAAGCTAACTTCTGGAACATATTCTACCTAGGAACGTGCAGTACTAAGGACATATTCTACCTGTAAACATGGGATACAAGGACATATTCTACCTGTGAACATGGGGGACAAGAACATGGGATACAAGGACATATTCTACCTGTGAACATGGGATACAAGGACATATTATACCTGTGAACATGGGGTACAAGGACATATTCCACCTGGGAACATGGGGTACAAGGACATATTCTACCTGTGAACATGGGGTACTAAGGACATATTCTACCTGGGAACATGGGGTACAAGGACATATTCTACCTGGGAACATGGGGTACAAGGACATATTCTACCTGGGAACATGGGGTACAAGAACATTCTACCTGGGAACATGGGGTACAAGGACATATTCTACCTGGGAACATGGGGTACAAGGACATATTCTACCTGGGAACATGGGGTACAAGGACATATTCTACCTTGGAAAATGGGGTACAAGGAAATATTCTACCTGGGAACATGGGGTACGAAGGACATATTCTACCTGGGAACATGGGGTACAAGGACATATTCTACCTTGGAAAATGGGATACAAGGACATATTCTACCTGGGAACATGGGGTACGAAGAACATATTCTAGCTGGGAACATGGGATACAAGGACATATTCTACCTGGGAACATGGGGTACAAGGACATATTCTACCTGGGAACATGGGGTACAAGGACATATTCTACCTGGGAACATGGGGTACAAGGACATATTCTAGCTGGGAACATGGGATACAAGGACATATTCTAGCTGGGAACATGGGATACAAGGACATATTCTAGCTGGGAACATGGGATACAAGGACATATTCTACCTGGGAACATGGGATACAAGGACATATTCTAGCTGGGAACATGGGATACAAGGACATATTCTAGCTGGGAACATGGGATACAAGGACATATTCTACCTGGGAACATGGGGTACAAGGACATATTCTACCTGGGAACATGGGGTACAAGGACATATTCTGCCTTGGAAAATTGGGTACAAGGACATATTCTACCTCGGAACATGGGGTACGAAGGACATATTCTAGCTGGGAACATGGGGTACAAGGACATATTCTACCTGGGAACATGGGGTACAAGGACATATTCTACCTGGGAACATAGGGTACAAGGACATATTCTACCTGGGAACATGGGGTACAAGGACATATTCTACAAGGACATATTCTACCTGGGAACATGGGATACAAAGACATATTCTACCTGGGAACATGGGGTACAAGGACATATTCTACCTGGGAACATGGGATACAAGGACATATTCTACCCGGGAACATGGGGTACAAGGACATATTCTACCTGGGAACATGGGGTACAAGAACATATTCTACCTGGGAACATGGGGTAGTAAAGACTAATTCTACCTGGGAACATTGGGTACAAGGAAATATTTTCCCTGGGAACATGGGGTACTAAGGACATATTCTACCTCGGAACATGGGGTACAAGGAAATATTCTACCTGGGAACATGGGGTACAAGGAAATATTCTACCTGGGAACATGGGGTACAAGGACATATTCTACCTGGGAACATGGGGTACAAGGACATATTCTACCTGGGAACATGAGGTACAAGGATATATTCTACCTGGGAACATGGGGTACAAGGAAATATTCTACCTGGGAACATGGGGTACAAGGAAATATTCTACCTGGGAACATGGGGTACAAGGAAATATTCTACCTGGGAACATGGGGTACAAGGACATATTCTACCTGGGAACATGGGGTACAAGGACATATTCTACCTGGGAACATGAGGTACAAGGATATATTCTACCTGGGAACATGGGGTACAAGGAAATATTCTACCTGGGAACATGGGGTACAAGAAAATGGGATACAAGGAAATATTCTACCTGGGAACATGGGGAACAAGGAAATATTCTACCTGGTAACATGGGGAGGGGAAAAGTGAGACTTGCTTACATCTGGAGTATTCTGTTGTGATTCTGCTCCCTCCTTGTTTTTGTTTTTCTTCTTCTTCTTCTTTTTCTTCTTCTTTTTTTCTTCGGTGTTTGGAGTACTTGCTACACCATTCTGCCCCGCGCTCTGGAACAACACCAATCAACAGTTAGGACACTATTACCACTGTAAACAAAACTAGCAATGGTGATAAACTCGAGAAAGGGTTATAGTGAAAATGGAACAAGTTTTAAAAGACAAGGAATTTATACATATGTTTGTTCCAAGAAAATATAATATCAAGACTATTATACCAAAAGGGATTGTGACACCAAATAGGACTGTGACATCATCTAAGGTCATTTATAAAGTTGAGGAAGTTGGAAGGCTTCATGTATTTGAAACGCAGTAAGAAAAAGGTAAGGAAAGGCAAAGACTCTCACCTTATTTTTTGAGGCACTTTCTGCAGACTGTTGCTTTGTAGTTTGTTTCCCTTTAGCTTGTTTTTTGGCTTTGGGTGATTTTGCTGGCACTTGTTGGTCCTCCTCGTCATCCTCATCAGATTCATCATCTACAGGGGTAATAACACAATCAGTCAACTCACACACAGAGGAAACAACAAAGTCAGTCAATTCACACACAGGGGTAACAACACTGTCAGTCAACTTACACACAGGGGAAAGAACACAGTCAGTCAACTCACACACAGGGGACACAACACAATCAGTCAACTCACACACAGGGGTAACAACACAGTCAACTCACACAGGGGAAACAACAGTCAGTCAACTCACAAACAGGGTAAACAACAGTCAGTCAACTCACACACAGGGGAAACAACACAGTCAACTCACACACAGGGGAAACAACACAGTCAACTCACACACAGGGGAAACAACACAGTCAACTCACACACAGGGGAAACAACACAGTCAACTCACACAAAGGGGAAACAACACAGTCAACTCACACACAGGGGAAACAACACAGTCAACTCACACACAGGGGTAACAACTCAGTCAACTCACACGCAGGGGAAACAACACTGTCAGTCAACTCACACAGGGGAAACAACACTGTCAGTCAACTCACACACAGGGGTAACAACACAGTCAGTCAACTCACACACAGGGGTAACAACACTGTCAGTCAACTCACACACAGGGGTAACAACACAGTCAGTCAACTCACACACAGGGGAAACAACACAGTCAGTCAACTCACACACAGGGGTAACAACACTGTCAGTCAACTCACACACAGGGGTAACAACTCAGTCAACTCACACACAGGGGAAACAACACTGTCAGTCAACTCACACACAGGGGTAACAACACAGTCAACTCACACACGGGAAACAACACTGTCAGTCAACTCACACACAGGGGAAACAACACAGTCAACTCACACACAGGGGTAACAACAGTCAACTCACACACAGGGGAAACAACACTGTCAGTCAACTCACACACAGGGGAAAGAACACAGTCAACTCATACACAGGGGTAACAACACTGTCAGTTAACTCACACACAGGGGAAAGAACACAGTCAGTCAACTCACACACAGGGGAAAGAACACAGTCAGTCAACTAACACACAGGGTACACAACACAGTCAACTCACACACAGGGGTAACAACACAGTCAACTCACACACAGGGGTAACAACAGTCAACTCACACACAGGGGAAACAACACAGTCAACTCACACACAGGGGTAACAACAGTCAACTCACACACAGGGGAAAGAACACAGTCAACTCATACACAGGGGTAACAACACTGTCAGTTAACTCACACACAGGGGAAAGAACACAGTCAGTCAACTCACACACAGGGGACACAACACAGTCAACTCACACACAGGGGTAACAACACAGTCAACTCACACGGGAAACAACAGTCAGTCAACTCACAAACAGGGTAAACAACAGTCAGTCAACTCACACACAGGGGAAACAACACAGTCAACTCACACACAGGGGAAACAACACAGTCAACTCACACACAGGGGAAACAACACAGTCAACTCACACACAGGGGGAAACACCACAGTCAGTCAACTCACACTGAGTGTTAAACACAGTCCACTTATTATTAATGAGTGTCACCCAACTAGCCAGGGTGTAACCGTAGTCAGCATGGTCAGACTGGCGAACGTTTCAGAACATTGCTCGTTTGTTTGTTATTTGTTGTTAAATTCTGCACTTGGCAATATTCCAGCCATATGACGGTGCTCTGTAAATAATGTCTTGACCAGACAATCCAGTGATTGACATCATGAGCATTGATCAACGCAATTGGGATACGATGTGATGCATCAACCAAGTCAGGGAACATGACCTCCTGGTCTCATTAGTCGACTCGTGCGACAAGCATAGTCGCCTTTTCCGGCAAGCATAGTCGCCTTTTACGGCAAGCATAGTCGCCTTTACCGGCAAGCATGGGTTGCTGAAGACCTATTCTACCCCGGATATTCACGGGTCTCAGTACATTGCAATTCTTTATACCATATAGTGAGGTCATGTATTGATACAATATGGTACAAAGTAAATGTAAAGGTGATATGAAAAACTGCTCTCAATCAAAACAACTAATTATGTTTTGGTTAAACTATCAAATCAATGCATCAGAATGTATTGTCAGAGCCCCTCAGGGTTGAGATCAATTATATTTCACTTCCCTGTAAATCATTATTTGTGACTTGTTGCAATATATTCAATTGGGAATAATCTCATTTGGTTTTCAGCTACGAACCATCTTTCTCTTCCTCTTCATCGTCATCTTCATCTTCAGTACTGGGATCGTCAATGTGCTGGCCAATCATCAACTAGCAAACACATAATAAACAAACATCAACTACCATACCAAGTAATCTGGTATTCCGACACACCAACTGTCATACCAAGTAATCTGGTATTCTACCGACACACCAACTGTCATACCAAGTAATCTGCTTTTCTACCGACACACCAACTGTCATACCAAGTAATCTGGTATTCTACCGACTCACCAACTGTCATACCAAGTAATCTGGTTTTCTGACACACATACTGTCATACCAAGTAATCTGGTATTCTACCGACACACCAACTGTCATACCAAGTAATCTGGTATTCTACCGACTCACCAACTGTCATACCAAGTAATCTGGTTTTCTGACACACCAACTGTCATACCAAGTAATCTGGTATTCGGACACACCAACTGTCATACCAAGTAATTTGGTTTTCTACCGACACACCAACTGTCATACCAAGTAATCTGGTATTCTACCGACACACCAACTGTCATACCAAGTAATCTGGTATTCTACCGACTCACCAACTGTCATACCAAGTAATCTGGTTTTCTGACACACCAACTGTCATACCAAGTAATCTGGTTTTCTGACACACATACTGTCATACCAAGTAATCTGGTATTCTGACACACCAACTGTCATACCAAGTAATCTGGTATTCTACCGACACACCAACTGTCATACCAAGTAATCTGGTATTCTACCGACTCACCAACTGTCATACCAAGTAATCTGGTTTTCTGACACACCAACTGTCATACCAAGTAATCTGGTATTCGGACACACCAACTGTCATACCAAGTAATTTGGTTTTCTACCGACACACCAACTGTCATACCAAGTAATCTGGTATTCTACCGACACACCAACTGTCATACCAAGTAATCTGGTATTCTACCGACTCACCAACTGTCATACCAAGTAATCTGGTTTTCTGACACACCAACTGTCATACCAAGTAATCTGGTTTTCTGACACACATACTGTCATACCAAGTAATCTGGTATTCTGACACACCAACTGTCATACCAAGTAATTTGGTATTCTGACACACCAACTGTCATAACAAGTAATCTGGTATTCTGACACACCAACTGTCATACCAAGTAATCTGGTATTCTGACACACCAACTGTCATACCAAGTAATCTGGTATTCTGACACACCAACTGTCATACCAAGTAATCTGGTATTCTACCGACTCACCAACTGTCATACCAAGTAATCTGGTATTCTACCGACACACCAACTGTCATACCAAGTAATCTGGTATTCTACCGACACACCAACTGTCATACCAAGTAATCTGGTATTCTACCGACACACCAACTGTCATACCAAGTAATCTGGTATTCTACCGACACACCAAGTGTCATACCAAGTAATCTGGTATTCTACCGACACACCAACTGTCATACCAAGTCATCTGGTATTCTACCGACACACCAACTGTCATACCAAGTAATCTGGTATTCTACCGACACACCAACTGTCATACCAAGTAACCTGGTATTCTACCGACACACCAACTGTCATACCAAGTAATCTGGTATTCTACCGACACACCAACTGTCATACCAAGTAATCTGGTATTCTGACACACCAACTGTCATACCAAGTAATCTGGTATTCTACCGACACACAAACTGTCATACCAAGTAACCTGGTATTCTACCGACACACCAACTGTCATACCAAGTAATCTGGTATTCTACCGACACACCAACTGTCATACCAAGTAATCTGGTATTCTACCGACACACCAACTGTCATACCAAGTAATCTGGTATTCTGACACACCAACTGTCATACCAAGTAATTTGGTATTCTGACACACCAACTGTCATAACAAGTAATCTGGTATTCTACCGACTCACCAACTGTCATACCAAGTAATCTGGTTTTCTGACACACCAACTGTCATACCAAGTAATCTGGTTTTCTGACACACATACTGTCATACCAAGTAATCTGGTATTCTGACACACCAACTGTCATACCAAGTAATCTGGTATTCTACCGACACACCAACTGTCATACCAAGTAATCTGGTATTCTACCGACTCACCAACTGTCATACCAAGTAATCTGGTTTTCTGACACACCAACTGTCATACCAAGTAATCTGGTATTCGGACACACCAACTGTCATACCAAGTAATTTGGTTTTCTACCGACACACCAACTGTCATACCAAGTAATCTGGTATTCTACCGACACACCAACTGTCATACCAAGTAATCTGGTATTCTACCGACTCACCAACTGTCATACCAAGTAATCTGGTTTTCTGACACACCAACTGTCATACCAAGTAATCTGGTTTTCTGACACACATACTGTCATACCAAGTAATCTGGTATTCTGACACACCAACTGTCATACCAAGTAATTTGGTATTCTGACACACCAACTGTCATAACAAGTAATCTGGTATTCTGACACACCAACTGTCATACCAAGTAATCTGGTATTCTGACACACCAACTGTCATACCAAGTAATCTGGTATTCTGACACACCAACTGTCATACCAAGTAATCTGGTATTCTACCGACTCACCAACTGTCATACCAAGTAATCTGGTATTCTACCGACACACCAACTGTCATACCAAGTAATCTGGTATTCTACCGACACACCAACTGTCATACCAAGTAATCTGGTATTCTACCGACACACCAACTGTCATACCAAGTAATCTGGTATTCTACCGACACACCAAGTGTCATACCAAGTAATCTGGTATTCTACCGACACACCAACTGTCATACCAAGTCATCTGGTATTCTACCGACACACCAACTGTCATACCAAGTAATCTGGTATTCTACCGACACACCAACTGTCATACCAAGTAACCTGGTATTCTACCGACACACCAACTGTCATACCAAGTAATCTGGTATTCTACCGACACACCAACTGTCATACCAAGTAATCTGGTATTCTGACACACCAACTGTCATACCAAGTAATCTGGTATTCTACCGACACACAAACTGTCATACCAAGTAACCTGGTATTCTACCGACACACCAACTGTCATACCAAGTAATCTGGTATTCTACCGACACACCAACTGTCATACCAAGTAATCTGGTATTCTACCGACACACCAACTGTCATACCAAGTAATCTGGTATTCTGACACACCAACTGTCATACCAAGTAATTTGGTATTCTGACACACCAACTGTCATAACAAGTAATCTGGTATTCTGACACACCAACTGTCATACCAAGTAATCTGGTATTCTACCGACTCACCAACTGTCATAACAAGTAATCTGGTATTCTACCGACACACCAACTGTCATAACAAGTAATCTGGTATTCTACCGACTCACCAACTGTCATACCAAGTAATCTGGTATTCTACCGACACACCAACTGTCATACCAAGTAATCTGGTATTCTACCGACACACCAACTGTCATACCAAGTAATCTGGTATTCTACCGACACACCAACTGTCATAACAAGTAATCTGGTATTCTACCGACTCACCAACTGTCATAACAAGTAATCTGGTATTCTGACACACCAACTGTCATACCAAGTAATCTGGTATTCTGACACACCAACTGTCATACCAAGTAATCTGGTATTCTACCGACTCACCAACTGTCATACCAAGTAATCTGGTATTCTGACACACCAACTGTCATACCAAGTAATCTGGTATTCTACCGACTCACCAACTGTCATAACAAGTAATCTGGTATTCTACCGACACACCAACTGTCATACCAAGTAATCTGGTATTCTACCGACACACCAACTGTCATACCAAGTAATCTGGTATTCTACCGACACACCAACTGTCATACCAAGTAATCTGGTATTCTACCGACACACCAACTGTCATACCAAGTAATCTGGTATTCTACCGACTCACCAACTGTCATACCAAGTAATCTGGTATTCTACCGACACACCAACTGTCATAACAAGTAATCTGGTATTCTACCGACTCACCAACTGTCATAACAAGTAATCTGGTATTCTACCGACTCACCAACTGTCATACCAAGTAATCTGGTATTCTGACACACCAACTGTCATACCAAGTAATCTGGTATTCTACCGACTCACCAACTGTCATAACAAGTAATCTGGTATTCTACCGACACACCAACTGTCATAACAAGTAATCTGGTATTCTACCGACTCACCAACTGTCATACCAAGTAATCTGGTATTCTACCGACACACCAACTGTCATAACAAGTAATCTGGTATTCTACCGACACACCAACTGTCATACCAAGTAATCTGGTATTCTACCGACACACCAACTGTCATAACAAGTAATCTGGTATTCTACCGACACACCAACTGTCATACCAAGTAATCTGGTATTCTACCGACAACCAACTGTCATACCAAGTAATCTGGTATTCTACCGACACACCAACTGTCATAACAAGTAATCTGGTATTCTACCGACACACCAACTGTCATAACAAGTAATCTGGTATTCTACCGACACACCAACTGTCATAACAAGTAATCTGGTATTCTACCGACACACCAACTGTCATAACAAGTAATCTGGTATTCTACCGACACACCAACTGTCATACCAAGTTATCTGGTATTCTACCGACACACCAACTGTCATAACAAGTAATCTGGTATTCTACCGACACACCAACTGTCATACCAAGTAATCTGGTATTCTACCGACAACCAACTGTCATACCAAGTAATCGGGTATTATACCATTACAAGAATAGCACCGACAAGAAACATGGGCCTCTGGCCTTTATACTGAATTAAAACAAGAGGCCCATAGGGCCTGTATAGCTCACCTGGATATTTACGCAATCATGACAAAATATACATTGTACATACTGCAAATATTTTGTAATCTAGGCTGTCAGCATTTAAAATGGGTGGATGGCAAATCTGACAGCATGAACGTGTATTTCTCTAGATAGAAATGTAGCATAAAGATCTGAACCATTTCCATTTTATGATCCAGGATCTTAGTTTCCAGGGGACCCCAGGCCGAATCCTATTGGCATAAATGTATTATTCTCTTCATAACATACAAATGTATAAAATGTATAGGTTTATTTTAGGGTGGGGATAATATCGATTTGCATGTTATGGTCAAGGTTCTAACTATCTCCTTTGGGAATGCCGGACAGATGAACAGAAGGGCCAGTCCTGGTAGCATATCTGCATTCCTCTCACTATACTCAGTAATTGTAAATATGGTCATACGGTGGATGATTTTAACTGTGTCCAAACTCTTTTTGGCCCAGCCCCTCAGCCCCTGGGAAATCTTCAAACCAAATATGGTAGTTCCAGAGAAGAAGTCGTTTAAAACTATATAGACAAATTACTCCTATTTGGCCTTGCCCCTCAGCCCCTTGGGGGGGGGGGGGGGTGTGTCAGCCTCACCATTTGTCCAATTTTGAGGCCCCACCACCTAGGGATGCTTCTAGTCAAATTTAGCTCCTGGTGAGCTAAAAATACAAGAAATCTGTAGACATTGCAACACATTTGAACAACAACTTACTTTGCGTATTTCATGTCGTTCATCCGAATCCAAGTCTTCACTGTCATCGGAATCCATGTCTTCACTGTCATCCTTCATGTTCAACAATTTTGATTTCTTCTTTTGCACAATTCCCATGTCTTTAGCTTTTCTCTTCTTTGCATCTAGAAAATCAAGATGTCCCAGAGTCACACTTCCGACATGAGATCAGCTCTCATGAACATTTTTCTTTTCTCATTCCAAAATTGTTCATTTATATTTACCAGTACATGAACTATAACGAAAAATAATCTAATGGGACAAATTTGCTAAGAAACTTCAGCAACCTGCAGTATATATGTTTCCTGTTTAACACTGCACTCAGCAATATTCCAGCCGTATGACAGCGGCCAGTAAATAATAGTCTGCAATTGACAATAAAGTGATTGACGTCATAAGCAAGGATCCGTGTTGTCAGGAGTTGATGACAATCAACCATCGAGTCTCGCCACCTAATTAAGTTGCATCTCTGTTGCAAAATTGACCTGGGACCCGGGAATCCCAAAGGAGCACAGTGGATCGAAATCAATCTGCAGCAAGCGTTTCAAAAACTGAACAAGCTAAAGTATAATTGTTGTTAATTGTTGCACTAATACTTGACCTTACAGTATGATCTGAAATGACAAGAGCCCAAAGTCCTGCATTGATATCTTGGAGAATCTGTACATCACCGTCAGGTCCAACAACAATGTGTTCTATGGACAAGAGCCCTGGACACACTCAAGACTACCCCAACTCTACGTAATGTCCTTCAACAATATGTTCTATGGACAAGAGCCCTGGACACACTCAGGACTACCCCAACTCTACGTAATGTCCTACAACAATGTGTTCTATGGACAAGAGCCCTGGACACACTCAGGACTACCCCAACACTACGTAATGTCCTACAACAATGTGTTCTATGGACAAGAGCCCTGGACACACTCAGGACAACCCCAACTCTACGTAATGTCCTACAACAATGTGTTCTATGGACCAGAGCCCTGGACACACTCAGGACTACCCCAACTCTACGTAATGTCGTACAACAATGTGTTCTATGGACCAGAGCCCTGGACACACTCAGGACTACCCCAACTCTACGCAATTTCCTACAACAATGTGTTCTATGGACCAGAGCCCTGGACACACTCAGGACTACCCCAACTCTACGTAATGTCGTACAACAATGTGTTCTATGGACCAGAGCCCTGGACACACTCAGGACTACCCCAACTCTACGTAATTTCCTACAACAATGTGTTCTATGGACAAGAGCCCTGGACACACTCAGGACTACCCCAACTCTACGTAATTTCCTACAACAATGTGTTCTATGGACAAGAGCCCTGGACACACTCAGGACTACCCCAACTCTACGTAATGTCCTACAACAATGTGTTGTATGGACCAGAGCCCTGGACACACCCAGGACTACCCCAACTCTACGTAATGTCCCACCTTTCTTCATGGCCGTCTCAATAGCAAAATCTTCATCCTCACTGTCGTCATCACTGTCCTCCTCTTCCATACCAAGGAGTTCTGGTGCCTCGTCTGTAACCATGGCAACGCATACAGGTGATCAAAGACAATGTAATGCCACAGAACTCCCAGGAAATACACAGAGCAATATTTGCCCAGAGGAGAGAGCCATCTGCTTCCAGGACTCCCAACACCAGCAGCACTACCACAAGTTCACCCAGATGCAAGAAGATAGCTTTGTTTTCAAATGATATTAAACATTAAATTACACTGACGCCACATCTAGCCTATCATGCCTAATGCATTCCCAACAATCATGATAATCATACACAAGTCCACTCAGACATTGTGCTCATTCTCGAACTTAGGATCAATATATGAATACAGCAACACAGTTAGGATAGATTGAATATTGCTTTATGGTGCCATTCTGCAGCTTGGTTGTTTGTTCATTCTTAATGTGGCACTCCGCAACTTTCCAGCAATATCCTGGCAGCCAGTGGACATGGCAAGTAATTGAGTACGGATCAGGTATTGTAAGTAACGATTGATGCCACACAGAATAGTGAATAAAGGATCAAGATACATCTTCTGACAAATTCCCTTTTTTTCATACATCACAATATATTTAGCATAACAAGAAGTGCATGACATGAACATGAGAAATGGATGACGCGGTGTGCGCAGTCATCATCATCCTCCAACTCACCATCCGACTCGGAGGAATCTCCGCTGAGCCCCATCTCGTCGTCGTACTGCCCCTCATCCAGCAAGTAGCCCGTCAGATGCACAATGCCTACAACAAACGGCAAAATCATTCTTGTTCACTTGTGGTACTTGAATGTAGAGAATGTGTGTGCCATTTCATGAAAAGTGGGCTGATTGGTGGCCGTATCAAGTTGGGTAGGGGAGCTAACTCTGGACAATTTTCTGAGTGATTCACATATCCATAAATATCTTTTTCACTCACGACCTTCTAAAAGCATTTTCAAAGCTTTTTAGTTGGGCTATTAGTATGTCGATATTTTTTTTAATCCAGCATACCATATATTAGATAATTCATGGATAACAACTTCTTTATTTACTGTAAAGGCGACGTTTCAGTACAGATCCTTATTTCGATGTCAAGCAAGGCTGAATAATGAACATCATACAGAATATATATACATGTAGTAGGGGGATTAACAGTAACAACAACTGAATACAAGAGAGAGATTAACGTGAGTAGGTTAAGTAATGACAACAGAAGGATGATACTGTAACAAGGTGATGGACAGGGAACCCATGATGAGGAAGCCAGTAAGGCTGAAGGCTAATTGCACAGGATAAGTATACATAGGTGTGGTGATTAATGCTTAATGAGTTCATAGTAGGTGGATGGGATGAGATGGCCTTGACCTCTGTTGATTGATTACTTGTGGCAGTGAATGTGGACTGCTTCTGTTAGTTTTCTTTTAGTGAAGTCATGGAGGTTGTTGGAGAGGATTTGGACGTTTTCCCAGTTGTTGTGATTAGAGCAGTTGCTGATATGGTCTGAGATGGCTGATTTACTGTCTGATCTGATGGTTGGATTCTGGTGTTGATGGGGCGGGATGTTTCACCTACATAGGATTGTCCACAGCCAACTGCTCTAATCACAACATCAAGTGGGGCAACGTCCAAATCCTCCCCAACAACCTCCATGACTTCATTAAAAGAAAAACTAACACAAGTCTGAAGTTGCTTGACAAAGGTATAAGGATCTATACCGAAACATTGCCTTTACAGTAAATAAAGAAGTTGTGATATATGAATTATCTCTACTTTTGTAATCCAGAGCTACAGATAAGCAGCATATTCGTGTAAAATACTAAACAAAATTATTCAAAACCCAACTACTTTCAAATAACTTGCATACAGAAATGCATACATCAAATGTTTCTTTGTTTGTTACACCGCACTCAGCAATATTCCAGCTATATGACGGCGGTCTGTAAAATAATCGAGTCTGGACCAGACAATCCAGTGATTGACATCATGAGCATCAGTCTACACAATTGGGATCCATGACATGTATCAACAAAGTCAGCGAGTCTGACCACCCAATCCCGTTAGTCGCCTTTTACGACAAGCATAGTCGCCTTTTACAGCAAGTATGGGTTGCTGAAGACCTATTCTACCCTGGACTCTTCACGGGTCTCACCAAATGAAAAACTCAAATGTATAAAAACAGCTCGCGTAAATACCCAATGAAGCTTTTTCAGCATGCGTACTCAATATACAGTAAAACATTATCGCAATGTGTATCCTTGGAAAAGCATATCCAGTATACCGGTAATTGCATGCAGGGCTATTATGTACCATCAGACCGACCTGTTCCGTTGAGGAAGAATGTGACCTCCTCTCCCTCTGTGAAGTTGAGGTCCAGGGGTTGTTGGTAGAGTCGACCAAACTCCAGCGTGCACATCACAAACTCCGCCTTCTCATGCTGAATCATCACAGATACATGCTTTTCCTTTGTTTTGGGGGTTTCTGTCAATCAAAAATATACACCTATATCACCATGGCAAGATTCTAGGTGTTGAGTCTTACACATAATGTACTCCCCACTAAATTTTGTCAGTCACAACTTTCAACAAATAATAAAATGTATGAAAATTACCTAGTTGTTTTCAACATCCTATTCAATGCAATGACATCATCTCTGAAGTAACTTAGTCAGATCTACACGACATTCACACAAAGTTCAGTAATAATTTTCTCTTTTCTTTTTGAATATTTCAAGACCAAGTCGCTTCAAATATATATTTAACCTTGAAGTAAAGCAAAATATTATGTCCTTGCACTAAAAACAGACAAGGGGAAACCCTGATGGTAACAGACAAGCTAACTTTGTTAAAAAAAATATACTTATATGATCTATTTTGTTGTTTGTTGTTTAACGCTACACTCAGCAATATTCCAGCTATATGACGGCAGTCTGTAAATGATCGAGTCTGGACCAGACAATCCAGTGATTGACATCATGAGCATTGATCCACACAATTGGGATACAATGACATGAATGAACCAAGCCAGAGAGCCTGACCACCCGATCGCCTCTTACGACAAGCATGGGTTGCTGAAGACCCATTCTACCCCGGATCCTCACAGGTTGTATAATAAGAATATCGCTGATGTTTTGTTCAACATGTTCAACAACAAAGATTTATAAGGTACATAATTTGACAGTGAACAGGGACTGGCAGTCACAATAATTACTGGCCCAAGTTTAATTTTACCTGTAATTACAGGTAAACGGGAGCACTGTAACATGATCAAGCACCATGCCCCATTAAGACCCTGACCCACTAATAGAACAACTGCAGGTAATCTTCAGAAGCATGATCAGCGCCCTGTACTATCAGTTTACTACTGAGTTTGTAAATGAACATGAGGGTCCCTGTTGACTTGTGTATAACATAGCTTTTATAGCAGTGTGGAAGGTGTACAAATTGTGTACTATTATCAGGAATGTTTTGTCTCATTTGTTCTTTACCACTCAACCCCTGTTTATTATGACACTGGGAGTACCGGACCCAGCACAACATTGGGAGTACAGGACCCGGCACAACACTGGGAGTACCGGACCCGGCACAACACTGGGAGTACCGGACCCGGCACAACACTGGGAGTACCGGACCCGGCACAACACTGGGAGTACCGGACCCGGCACAACACTGGGAGTACCGGACCCGGCACAACACTGGGAGTACCGGACCCGGCACAACATTGGGAGTACCGGACCCGGCACAACATTGGGAGAACCGGACCCGGCACAACATTGGGAGTACCGGACCCGGCACAACATTGGGAGTACAGAACCAAGCACAACATTGGGAGTACCGGACCCGGCACAACATTGGGAGAACCGGACCCGGCACAACATTGGGAGTACCGGACCCGGCACAACATTGGGAGAACCGGACCCGGCACAACACTGGGAGTACAGGACCCCGGCACAACACTGGGAGTACAGGACCCGGCACAACATTGGGAGAACCGGACCCGGCACAACATTGGGAGTACCGGACCCGGCACAACATTGGGAGTACCGGACCCAGCACAACACTGGGAGTACCGGACCCGGCACAACATTGGGAGTACAGAACCAAGCACAACATTGGGAGAACCGGACCCGGCACAACATTGGGAGAACCGGACCCGGCACAACATTGGGAGTACCGGACCCGGCACAACACTGGGAGTACCGGACCCAGCACAACACTGGGAGTACAGGACCTGGCACAACACTGGGAGTACAGGACCCGGCACAACATTGGGAGTACAGAACCAAGCACAACATTGGGAGTACCGGACCCGGCACAACATTGGGAGTACAGAACCAAGCACAACATTGGGAGTACAGGACCCGGCATAACACTGGGAGTACAGGACCCAGCACAACATTGAGAGTACAGGACCCGGCACAACATTGGGAGTACAGGACCGAGCACAACATTGGGAGAACCGGACCCGGCACAACATTGGGAGTACCGGACCCGGCACAACATTGGGAGTACCAGACCCAGCACAACACTGGGAGTACCGGACCCGGCACAACACTGGGAGTACAGAACCAAGCACAACATTGGGAGTACCGGACCCGGCACAACATTGGGAGAACCGGACCCGGCACAACATTGGGAGTACCGGACCCGGCACAACACTGGGAGTACAGGACCTGGCACAACACTGGGAGTACAGGACCCGGCACAACATTGGGAGTACAGAACCAAGCACAACATTGGGAGTATCGGACCCGGCACAACAGAACCAAGCACAACATTGGGAGTACATGACCCGGCATAACACTGGGAGTACAGGACCCAGCACAACACTGGGAGTACCGGACCCGGCACAACACTGGGAGTACAGAACCAAGCACAACACTGGGAGTACCGGACCCAGCACAACACTGGGAGTACAGGACCCGGCACAACATTGGGAGTACAGGACCCGGCACAACACTGGGAGTACAGGACCCCGGCACAACACTGGGAGTACCGGACCCAGCACAACACTGGGAGTACAGAACCAAGCACAACATTGGGAGTACCGGACAAGGCACAACACTGGGAGTACCGGACCCGGCACAACATTGAGAGTACAGGACCCGGCACAACATTGGGAGTACAGGACCAAGCACAACACTGGGAGTACAGGACCCCGGCACAACATTTGGAGTACAGGACCCCGGCACAACATTGGGAGTACAGGACCCGGCACAACACTGGGAGTACAGGACCCGGCACAACACTGGGAGTACAGGACCCGGCACAACACTGGTAGTACAGGACCCGGCACAACACTGGGAGTACAGGACCCGGCACAACATTGGGAGTACAGGACCCGGCACAACATTGGGAGAACAGGACCCGGCACAACATTGGTAGTACAGGACCCGGCACAACACTGGGAGTACAGGACCCGGCACAACATTGGGAGTACAGGACCCGGCACAACATTGAGAGTACAGGACCCGGCACAACATTGGAGTACCGGACCAAGCACAACACTGGGAGTACAGGACCCCGGCACAACATTTGGAGTACAGAACCAAGCACAACACTGGGAGAACAGGACCCGGCACAACATTGGTAGTACAGGACCCGGCACAACACTGGGAGTACAGGACCCGGCACAACATTGGGAGTACAGGACCCGGCACAACATTGGGAGAACAGGACCCGGCACAACATTGGTAGTACAGGACCCGGCACAACACTGGGAGTACAGGACCCGGCACAACACTGGGAGTACAGGACCCGGCACAACATTGAGAGTACAGGACCCGGCACAACATTGGAGTACCGGACCAAGCACAACACTGGGAGTACAGGACCCCGGCACAACATTTGGAGTACAGAACCAAGCACAACACTGGGAGAACAGGACCCGGCACAACATTGGTAGTACAGGACCCGGCACAACACTGGGAGTACAGGACCCGGCACAACATTGGGAGTACAGGACCCGGCACAACATTGGGAGAACAGGACCCGGCACAACATTGGTAGTACAGGACCCGGCACAACACTGGGAGTACAGGACCCGGCACAACATTGGGAGTACAGGACCCGGCACAACATTGGGAGAACAGGACCCGGCACAACATTGGTAGTACAGGACCCGGCACAACACTGGGAGTACAGGACCCGGCACAACATTGGGAGTACAGGACCCGGCACAACATTGGGAGAACAGGACCCGGCACAACACTGGGAGTACAGGACCCGGCACAACATTGGGAGTACAGGACCCGGCACAACATTGGGAGAACAGGACCCGGCACAACATTGGTAGTACAGGACCCGGCACAACACTGGGAGTACAGGACCCGGCACAACACTGGGAGTACAGGACCCAGCACAACACTGGGAGTACAGGACCCGGCACAACATTGGGAGTACAGGACCCGGCACAACATTGGGAGAACAGGACCCGGCACAACACTGGGAGTACAGGACCCGGCACAACAGGACAGCAGAACATGCCACCATCTTAGTAGACATCCAGGGGCGGATCCAGGACTTTAAAATGGGCGGGGATTCCACTTGGCATGCTTGGGTCATTTGTAACTTCAGTGCGAGGGGTGTATTCCACCCAAACAATAACAAAACACCCAAAGGAAACCATTAGTAATTTTACCTTAACAACCAAACCTACATGTAAATCATGACAGGCAAATTGCCAATGGGCTAACAAAATGTGAACAGATGGAAACAAGAGTCAAGAAGATGACAAATCCCCCCTGCATCCACAATAGCCAAAGGCACCACTTCAGCCCCTGGGTAATATGTGCACCAAGTTTGGATGACAAATCCCCCCTGCATCCACAATAGCCAAAGGCACCACTTCAGCCCCTGGGTAATATGTGCACCAAGTTTGGATGACAATATCCCCCTCACATTATATGCATCATTAAAAAAACACCCCTTGGATCCGCAACTGGATACGGCAGATATTTGGGTACAGCTTCACACTGGAAGTAACACTTAACAGGACACAGGCAGAACAGCATAAAGGAGCCTGGTGACTAGTAGTGGGACGATGCACGGAATGCATCGATGGGTTGCGATTGTTTACTTCTCGATACAAGTATCGATCACAATCAAACACTAAGAAAAAAGTATCGATTCTAACCTTAAATGTATTCTTTAATACATGTTACACCAAACACTTATTACTAGTGAAACTGTGTAGTGAAAACGTAAATATTTTCACCCAATGAGCCATACTTGACACTGCTAACAGTAAATTGTTTAGTGCACCAGGTATTTTGCCATCCTATCTATGAAAAAAATGGCTTACTCCCCACGGATAAGAGCATGTGCAAGTATCGTGATACGTATCAGATTGTGAGCAAGGCATTGTGATACATATCAGACCGTGAGCAAGGCATCGTGATATGTATCAGATCGTGAGCAAGGCATCGTGATACGTATCAGACCGTGAGCAAGGCATTGTGATATGTATCGGATTGCATAGTCGCATGTTAGCAAACACACCAAGGCCCCAGAGCCAAACATGCTAACAAAAGATTCCATTATCATGATGAAGACATCACTTCACCTGCTGAAGGGGCCAAAAGAACAAGTGAAATGATGTGTATTGGCAAAAAAAGAAGCTACAGATAAGCAGGGTATTTGCATAAAATACAAAAAAATAATATCAAAACCCAATTCCTTTTAATTAACTTGCTTACAGAAACGCATGCATTAAATGAAAAACTCAAATGTATAAAAACAGCTCGCTTAAATTCCCAATGAAGCTTTTTCAGCATGCGTACAAAGGAGCTAATTTCCGAAGCACAATTACGAGCTCATTTACTTTCCGGGTCAAGCCAATTTATTTAGAACAGTTATATATACATCTAAAACATTATTTCATTTTTTTTTAAATCTTAAAATGTTTACTAATTTTGGGAAAAACCCAATATATTGATAAATAGATGAGTGAAAAAATATTGGTTACCCAATGAAAAATGTAACAACCCAATTAAAATAGAAAAGTAAACAGTCAACTGCTCAAAAAGTTATCTGGAGCTCTGCAATATTCCTGCATGATGAATACAACTAAATAAACTCCTTGACATGTGGGAAAGACACGTAAACATGTAACTTATAACATGTGTATAAGAAAAGCACAAGTGCTACACATTGATAGAATACAAACCTGTACCAGACTCCAGAGCTGCCATTGAAATGTGGAAGGAGCGCTCCACGGTCTGTGTGTAGCGCTTACCGCCATCTAGTGTCACGCCTGAAACAACGAAAAATCTCAGTCATCCACGAACTGTCTCCAGACCATGCAAATGTCATCACACATGTTAAAAGTACTTAGGCTGCAAAGACTGAAAAGATAAACACAGCACAAAAACATTAGGTACTTATAAACTACCAACGTAAAGCAAAGTAACCATTAACTGTCTTTCTTTCGTGATAGGATTCATGGGTCAATTTTTCTATTTTTTTTGGATAACTACAAATTCCTGTAGTTATCAGTACATGCTACATAGTGGCACATAATGTTAGTTGGTGTATTAGATGGAATAAAATTATGTATTATCACTGAAGGGGTTGGCAGGGCTACTACAGGTATGTACGCCAGGTACTTTTCGGTGCACAGAAACATACCGTAACCAAAATACAGGACGGTACCTGGGACATGTTTGCTTCACCATGCTGATTACGAGTGCATCCTGTACAGTATGTATGGAACTGTGTATGGTCATTTTTATACACCCTGGAATGCATCTCATACAACAGTTCCGATTCAGAAAATGAAGAAAACCTCCCATACTACATGTACTAAGAGATATTTTACCCGACGAGCGTGTACTGCCATGATGGATTTTACTGTGGTTTGGCATACAGGATACATTAGGGTACATTTCTATATATCCAAAGGTACCTGGTTAACATATCATCAGTACCCGTGCCGACAACGACCACTTTAGCAATATTATCGATTCAATTTCCACATAATTAAAACAAAGTACCATAAAAAATTTTACTTTCTTCATGTTACACATAAATCGAAGGATCAACAATACTTAAATGTTGTTTGATGTATTCACCGACCTGGTCATGTGTATTTACCCAACAATGAGAAAACAAAGACAACATTTGATGATTAACACAGCTGCAATATCGTGGATCAACAAGCCCTGTGTTGTATAATAGTTAACATGGTTAAAGGCATTATTCAGGTAGAAATTATTTCTTCTCAAAAGTTTTTCCCACATGTTATAATTTTAATGAGGAGTGCTGATGAACAAAATGCGTCTCTTTCAAGATTTTCGATTAGTTTCAGTCATTTCAACAATGTTCAATGTAACAAACAAATACGTTTATTTTTTAAATCACATTCTTTTCTCTTCGTCACGTATTACAACAATGTTTCGGCAACATCGTAAACAGCAGCCTTCACAGTTCCAAATATAACATCGGATGTTAGAGAAAAAGAGCACGTGTTCTAGGCCTACTGCGCTGAGTACTGGAGGCCTTTATCACAAATATACGAGATCTACCAAACACTTGTGGATAAAACAACAGAACACGTTCATTCAGTTGCTGTTACAGAAATTGGGAATGTTGCTACACGTCCAAATCAAAGACACACTAGAAGAAAAACAGATTAATTCACTGGCCAGAGCTAATGTGTATTGACTCCTAAAACCCACGTGGTTTCTCGAATCATAAACATCGCCTCTCCTCAACCACTATCAACATTGGCAGGCGCTTGTTTCGCGTGGAAAACGACAATTCCTTAGCTTTTGACATATGCAAAAAATAACCATTCGATATATTTCTCGATCTTACCCCAAAACATGTTCTGAACGTCTCGTAACTTCACCATTAGATTTGAACTTGTTTCAGCCTCTCACCGCAAACTGGTCTCGATGTACTTCCGGTTAATGTCGTAAATACGACACGCGGAAATTTGTAAAGATTCACTCGGGCGCATTCGTGACCAACTCGTATTATTCCGGGACAAGCCGAATTGCAGGTTACGGAAAGGGGCGAGTGGTAACGAATGAGGATTGCGTTGCTTTCAAGAAACAAAAAACCTGGGCTATGTCAAAATAAATATCCATTGTTTATGTCGGCTGTCCAAAGTACACTTCTCATAAATAGCTTCCAAATTACATGACAAAGTATCGCGGATGTGGAAATAGTTTTCAATCTAAATTGTAATGGTAAAACATGTTTGAATATTAGATCTAATTGTCAAAGAATTCTTAGCTCTGAACCTTAAAGATACCACATTTCTTCTCTCTTAATTTTTGGAAAAAAATGTTTATGCTATATTTTTTTACAAAATAAAGAAAAAAAACGTTCTTTGACAAGGATGGATTTTACTGTGGTTTGGCATACAGGATACATTAGGGTACATTTCTATATATCCAAAGGTACCTGGTTAACATATCATCAGTACCCGTGCCGACAACGACCACTTTAGCAATATTATCGATTCAATTTCCACATAATTAAAACAAAGTACCATAAAATATTTTACTTTCTTCATGTTACACATAAATCGAAGGATCAACAATACTTAAATGTTGTTTGATGTATTCACCGACCTGGTCATGTGTATTTACCCAACAATGAGAAAACAAAGACAACATTTGATGATTAACACAGCTGCAATATCGTGGATCAACAAGCCCTGTGTTGTATAATAGTTAACATGGTTAAAGGCATTATTCAGGTAGAAATTATTTCTTCTCAAAAGTTTTTCCCACATGTTATAATTTTAATGAGGAGTGCTGATGAACAAAATGCGTCTCTTTCAAGATTTTCGATTAGTTTCAGTCATTTCAACAATGTTCAATGTAACAAACAAATACGTTTATTTTTTAAATCACATTCTTTTCTCTTCGTCACGTATTACAACAATGTTTCGGCAACATCGTAAACAGCAGCCTTCACAGTTCCAAATATAACATCGGATGTTAGAGAAAAAGAGCACGTGTTCTAGGCCTACTGCGCTGAGTACTGGAGGCCTTTATCACAAATATACGAGATCTACCAAACACTTGTGGATAAAACAACAGAACACGTTCATTCAGTTGCTGTTACAGAAATTGGGAATGTTGCTACACGTCCAAATCAAAGACACACTAGAAGAAAAACAGATTAATTCACTGGCCAGAGCTAATGTGTATTGACTCCTAAAACCCACGTGGTTTCTCGAATCATAAACATCGCCTCTCCTCAACCACTATCAACATTGGCAGGCGCTTGTTTCGCGTGGAAAACGACAATTCCTTAGCTTTTGACATATGCAAAAAATAACCATTCGATATATTTCTCGATCTTACCCCAAAACATGTTCTGAACGTCTCGTAACTTCACCATTAGATTTGAACTTGTTTCAGCCTCTCACCGCAAACTGGTCTCGATGTACTTCCGGTTAATGTCGTAAATACGACACGCGGAAATTTGTAAAGATTCACTCGGGCGCATTCGTGACCAACTCGTATTATTCCGGGACAAGCCGAATTGCAGGTTACGGAAAGGGGCGAGTGGTAACGAATGAGGATTGCGTTGCTTTCAAGAAACAAAAAACCTGGGCTATGTCAAAATAAATATCCATTGTTTATGTCGGCTGTCCAAAGTACACTTCTCATAAATAGCTTCCAAATTACATGACAAAGTATCGCGGATGTGGAAATAGTTTTCAATCTAAATTGTAATGGTAAAACATGTTTGAATATTAGATCTAATTGTCAAAGAATTCTTAGCTCTGAACCTTAAAGATACCACATTTCTTCTCTCTTAATTTTTGGAAAAAAATGTTTATGCTATATTTTTTTACAAAATAAAGAAAAAAAACGTTCTTTGACAATTAGATCTAATATCCAAACATGGTTTACCATTACAATTTAGATTGAAAATTAACTCAACACCAGTAATACGTTGTACTTTGCCATGTAATTTGGACAACTTTTATGAGAAGTGTACTCCGGAATGCCGACGGGTATTTTAGTAAAGAAGACTGAGCACACAATTTCATAAAAAAATGGTTGGTCAATATATTTCGTGTCAATTTGTTCGAATTCAAGTTTGTATCATCAATCAGAAAGAGTCGACAGTGCGGTGATCACCTCCATGATGGGAACCTCACAGATCACGTGACCGGAAACAATTGGTTAGCACATTGCATGTCCGCCTGCTAGTTTGAAATGTGTTTAATCCTCTTTTAACCTAAACAATGTGTCATTTGCTGGGGTACTTTGAATATGCGTCGTTTGATTATATGCACCTCCTTGTTACCACTGGCTGTGTTCGCCATTATATTTAGAAGATAAATACTATGTGTGTGTCTATTTCCGGGATTTTATCGAGTATTTGCATCTTGGGAATTCATCTCGAGACCCGAAAGCTTTAGCGTTTATTAGTCTTATTTGTATTCGTAAATATTTAGGCATAAAAAAATCAATATTGACAGTACATTCTGCAGTATATTTTACGAACGCATCTATAGGTAATGTTGTTGTTTTTTAATTTTGTTTAGCATATTATTCATGTATAATATATATATATTTAATCCACCTTATTATTACAGAGTAATTTATCTCATTTTTGAATTTTTTGCAATTAATTTTTAAAAAGGAATTGAGGTCAGTTATATTTATTTTTTTGCAAACAGGAAGGGGCATAACTGTAATTTGTTGTCATCACTGTAATTGTAAACAATCTTACGCCGGAAGATTTTCACGGCCAAATTAGTACTTCTTGATGTGCTTTTTGCAGTTGTTTCTGTCATTAATTGTTGCAGTTTGATTTCATCAGTTTGGCAAAATCGTCCAGTGGGGGCTTCACATTTTGGAAGAGCCAAGGGAACATCTGGCTGACGAGACGCTGAACCGGGCAACGTAGCATCATCAGACGCGGCGTTCAAGACGTTGTCAAGACCTTCAGAGTCTGTAAATATATTCATGTTTTAATAGACTAAAATTTTCATTAGCGTTGAAAATATTTTTTATCATTTATACGGGTGGAAACGAACCATTATGATTAAAATTGTTTAGGAAAATGCTAGTACAGCAGGATGATGACTTTTGACAGGTGTCAATCATGGTTTTGTGAAAAAATCCAAATAGGCTATTAAAAGTGATTTTTTTTAATGAATTTTACTCACAATCATCCGATAAGAGTTGTTGCAAGACAGATTCATCCATTTCTGCAAATATTTCTTCTGCTGAAGGCAGCGAGAAATTAATTTCCTGAGTCAGCTGAGCCATGGCGTCCATGTTAATTAGTATGCAAAAAATGCTGAGTAATTATGTATTCCTACACAGTGATTCGGTCGCTTGCTTCAGGGAATGCAAATCATATTTTCACCCTTTGACATTTGGTCATGTGACCCAAATTAGCCAATCACAACACAGAACACACTTTCTATAGGCTTACAATCTTCAGTGTAGCTCGATGTGCAGAGTAGCGTCCCTTAACCGTGCAAGGACACGATGATCGTAGGTTCTAAACCCCGATTCTCCCCTATTATGTGCCCCTTTTTTAGTTTTCCTCTCAGGCTGATTTAACAATTTAAAGTTAAAGTGTTAAAGTTGTTGGGTGTGGTGGGTGAGGGTAGGGGTAGACTGGTTCCCGTTCGTTCCTGCGACAGACTGATTGAAAAGCGGAACAAGTGCAGCGACACCAAGCGGAGGATCCGGGAACCAGTCTAGGGTAGGGGTGGGGAGGTTGACTAGACTCGGGCAAATTGACAGTAAAAGCAAATTTACGTCAAGTCATTCAAAATCCAGAATGTTTAAATAAAGTTTATGATGTACATCAGTACTAGTGTTGGAGTAAATGACGACCCCGAGTTACACAAAAACAAATTCTCACGTGACATCAATTACTGCGTCCATTGGGATCGAACCTCCTCTGAAATGTGCTGGCTTCTGTCAGTGGAAAGAAACGTTGAAGCGGCCGTAAAATATATTCTGGTCGGGAAATATTCAGTTCATTATTCATCGGGCAAGATATCCTTTAACGTGTTCACACCCGTGCTTATTTGGGGAGCTATAGAAAATTTTAAATATCCTTACTTCACATATAAAGACCTATAACATAATACACACAAACCTATAATATAATATATACACGTATTCAATGATAGTAGATATCCCCATCGAGCAAACACAAGGATTTTTCTCTGTTGCCGTATACGGCAATCAAACTACTATGCGAGTTGCGTCCCCTTGACCATGAACAATGTCCGATTGTGGCTTGCACAGACTTGCAATATAACGTTTGGTAATGCCGACAGTCTGGCAATACGCGTCCTAATTCTTAAGAAACAGACCCCCGCTCTCCCAATTCCACAATGTAGTATAGTACAGTGTCGACATGTCCACACATCTCTTCTTCTCCGATGCCCGAGTCTCGCTCTTCTTCTCCGATGCCAGAGTCTTGCTCTTCTTCTCCGATGCCCGAGTCTCGCTCTTCTTCTCCGATACCCGAGTCTCGCTCTTCTTCTCCGATGCCCGAGTCTCGCTCTTCTTCTCCGATGCCAGAGTCTCGCTCTTCTTCTCCGATGCCCGAGTCTCGCTCTTCTTCTCCGATGCCAGAGTCTCGCTCTTCTTCTCCGATACCCGAATCTCGCTCTTCTTCTCCGATGCCAGAGTCTCGCTCTTCTTCTCCGATGCCCGAGTCTCGCTCTTCTTCTCCGATGCCAGAGTCTCGCTCTTCTTCTCCGATACCCGAGTCTCGCTCTTCTTCTCCGATGCCCGAGTCTAGCTCTTCTTCTCCGATGCCAGAGTCTCGCTCTTCTTCTCCGATGCCCGAGTCTCGCTCTTCTTCTCCGATGCCCGAGTCTCGCTCTTCTTCTCCGATGCCAGAGTCTCGCTCTTCTTCTCCGATGCCCGAGTCTCACTCTTTTCTTCGATGCCCGAGTACCACTCTTCTCTTCTGATACCCGAAACTTACTCTTCTTCTCCCATGCCGGAGCTCTTCTTCTCCCATGCCCGAGTCTCGCTCTTCTTCGATGCCCGAGTATCACTCTTCTCTTGAAAGTTATCCGAACGCGTAAACTTGGAAGTTATATCTTTTTATTTGTCTGATAGGAAATATCATCCAGGTTCTGTGAAATGTGTTATCTTACTTTTGTCTGGGCCTGAATTAGCCACCCATCGTCATGCAGTTCATTGCCAGTCAGCTTCTTCACTGATTTCTACTTCCCCGATCCAGAGTCTTGCTCTTCTTCGATGCCCGAGTATCACTCTTCTTCACCGATTCCTGAATCTCACTCTTCTTCTCTGATGCCTGTGTCTCGCTCTTCTTCTCCAATGCCAGGGTCTTGTTCTCCTATGATGCCCAAGTCTCGCTCTTCTTCTCCGATGCCCGAGTCTCACTCTTCTTCTCCGATGCCCGAGTCTCGCTCTTCTTCTCCGATGCCCGAGTCTCACTCTTCTTCTCCGATGCCCGAGTCTCGCTCTTCTTCTCCGATGCCCGCGTCTCGCTCTTCTTCTCCAATGCCAGGGTCTTGTTCTCCTATGATGCCCAAGTCTCGCTCTTCTTCTCCGATGCCCGAGTCTCCCTCTTCTTCTCCGATGCCCGAGTCTCGCTCTTCTTCTCCGATGCCCGCGTCTCGCTCTTCTTCTCTGATGCCCGAGTCTTGCTCTTCTTCTCAGATGCCCGAGTCTCACTCTTTTTCAATGCCCGAGTATCACTCTCCTCTTCTGATACCCGAATCTCACTCTTCTTCTCCTATGCCGGAGTCTCATTCTTCTCCCATGCCCGAGTCTCACTCTTTTTCTCCGATGCCCGAGTCTCGCTCTTCTTCTCCGATGCGTGAGTCTCACTCTTCTTCTCCAATGCCCGAGTCTCGCTCTTTTTCTCCGATGCCCGAGTCTCGCTCTTCTTCTCCGATGCCTGAATCTCACTCTTCTTCTCCAATGCCCGAATCTCACTCATCTGCTTTGATGCCCGAGTCTCACTCTTCTTCTCCGATGCCTGAGTCTCACTCTTCTTCTCCGATGCCCGAGTCTCGCTCTTCTTCTCCGATGCCCGCGTCTCGCTCTTCTTCTCCAATGTCAGGGTCTTGTTCTCCTATGATGCCCAAGTCTCGCTCTATTTCTCCGATGCCCGAGTCTCCCTCTTCTTCTCCGATGCCCGAGTCTCGCTCTTCTTCTCCGATGCCCGCGTCTCGCTCTTCTTCTCCGATGCCCGAGTCTCCCTCTTCTTCTCCGATGCCCGCGTCTCGCTCTTCTTCTCAGATGCCCGAGTCTCACTCTTTTTCAAAGCCCGAGTATCACTCTCCTCTTCTGATACCCGAATCTCACTCTTCTTCTCCTATGCCGGAGTCTCATTCTTCTCCCATGCCCGAGTCTCACTCTTTTTCTCCGATGCCCGAGTCTCGCTCTTCTTCTCCGATGCGTGAGTCTCACTCTTCTTCTCCAATGCCCGAGTCTCGCTCTTTTTCTCCGATGCCCGAGTCTCGCTCTTCTTCTCCGATGCCTGAATCTCACTCTTCTTCTCCAATGCCCGAATCTCACTCATCTGCTTTGATGCCCGAGTCTCACTCTTCTTCTCCGATGCCCGAGTCTCGCTATTCTTCTCCGATGCGCGATTCTCACTCATCTTCTCCAATGCCCGAATCTCATTCTTCTTCTCCGATGCCTGAATCTCACTCTTCTTCTCCGATGCCTGAATCTCACTCTTCTTCTCTGATGCCCGAATCTCACTCTTCTTCTCCGATGCCTGAATCTCACTCTTCTTCTGTGATGCCTGAATCTCACTCTTCTTCTCCGATGCCTGAATCTCACTCTTTTTCTCTGATGCCTGAATCTCACTCTTCTTCTCCAATGCACGAGTCTCACTCTTCTTCTCTGATGCCTGAGTCTCGCTCTTCTTCTCCGATGCCTGAGTCTCGCTCTTCTTCTCCGATGCCTGAGTCTCGCTCTTCTTCTCCGATGCTCGAGTGTCACTCTTCTTCTCTGATGCCTGAGTCTCGCTCTTCTTCTCCGATGCCTGAGTCTCGCTCTTCTTCTCCGATGCCCGAGTGTCACTCTTCTTCTACGATGTTCGAATCTCACTCTTCTTCTCTGATGCCTGAGTCTCGCTCTTCTTCTCCGATGCCTGAGTCTCGCTCTTCTTCTCCGATGCCTGAGTCTCGCTCTTCTTCTCCGATGCCCGAGTGTCACTCTTCTTCTCTGATGCCTGAGTCTCGCTCTTCTTCTCCGATGCCTGAGTCTCGCTCTTCTTCTCCGATGCCCGAGTGTCACTCTTCTTCTCTGATGCCTGAGTCTCGCTCTTCTTCTCCAATGCCTGAGTCTCGCTCTTCTTCTCCGATGCCCGAGTGTCACTCTTTTTCTACGATGTTCGAATCTCACTCTTCTTCTCTGATGCCCGAATCTCACTCTTCTTCTCTGATGCCTGAATCTCACTCTTCTTCTCCAATGCCCGAGTCTCACTCTTCCTCTCTGATGCCTGAGTCTCGCTCTTCTTCTCCGATGCCCGAGTGTCACTCTTCTTCTACGATGTTCGAATCTCACTCTTCTTCTCTGATGCCTGAGTCTCGCTCTTCTTCTCCGATGCCTGAGTCTCGCTCTTCTTCTCCGATGCCTGAGTCTCGCTCTTCTTCTCCGATGCTCGAGTGTCACTCTTCTTCTCTGATGCCTGAGTCTCGCTCTTCTTCTCCGATGCCTGAGTCTCGCTCTTCTTCTCCGATGCCCGAGTGTCACTCTTCTTCTACGATGTTCGAATCTCACTCTTCTTCTCTGATGCCTGAGTCTCGCTCTTCTTCTCCGATGCCTGAGTCTCGCTCTTCTTCTCCGATGCCTGAGTCTCGCTCTTCTTCTCCGATGCCCGAGTGTCACTCTTCTTCTCTGATGTCTGAGTCTCGCTCTTCTTCTCCGATGCCTGAGTCTCGCTCTTCTTCTCCGATGCCCGAGTGTCACTCTTCTTCTCTGATGCCTGAGTCTCGCTCTTCTTCTCCAATGCCTGAGTCTCGCTCTTCTTCTCTGATGCCCGAGTGTCACTCTTTTTCTACGATGTTCGAATCTCACTCTTCTTCTCCGATGCCTGAATCCAACTCTTCTTCTCCGATGCCCGAGTCTCACTCTTCTTCTCTGATGCCCGAATCTCACTCTTCTTCTCTGATGCCTGAATCTCACTCTTCTTCTCCAATGCCCGAGTCTCACTCTTCCTCTCTGATGCCTGAGTCTCGCTCTTCTTCTCTGATGCCCGAGTCTCACTCTTCCTCTCTGATGCCTGAGTCTCGCTCTTCTTCTCCGATGCCCGAGTGTCACTCTTCTTCTCCGATGCCCGAGTGTCACTCTTCTTCTACGATGCCTGAGTCTCGCTCTTCTTCTCCAATGCCTGAGTCTCGCTCTTCTTCTCCAATGCCCGAGTCTCACTCTTCCTCTCTGATGCCTGAGTCTCGCTCTTCTTCTGCGATGCCCGAGTGTCACTCTTCTTCTCTGATGCCCGAGTGTCACTCTTTTTCTACGATGTTCGAATCTCACTCTTATTCTCCAATGCCCGAGTCTCGCTCTTCTTCTCCGATGCCTGGATCTCACTCTTCTTCTCCAATGCCCGAATCTCACTCTTCTTCTCTGATGCCTGAATCTCACTCTTCTTCTCCAATGCCCGAGTCTCACTCTTCTTCTCCGATGCCTGAATCCAACTCTTTACCTCCGAAGCCAGAGTCTCGCTCTTCTTCTCCGATGGTCGATTCTCCATGACATAGAAACTCAATTAATGCACATTGCCGCCATGGCTTTTCACGACCGAACTTCTTGCTCTTCAGGGCGCATCTGTCAGAAAGTTAGGCAGCATCACTGAGCCCGTACAACACGCTCTGCTACAACAACCATTCGCTTGTTTTTCTTCTTCTCAAGTCAACGCGTATGTAACGTACAGTCAAGAAGTGTATAAACACGCTTGTCCTTATCCCAACATAATCAGCTCCCGATATACTCAGTCCGCGACGACTTCAAATGAGTCTGTTATATCTGCCATTTATATAATTCAGTTTATTAACAATGTTTGAAACCACTGTACTGTGATTAGAATGTAAGCTGATGTTTCAATTCAATTATTTATCCCTTGTTGTCGTTATAATTCTCTGCCTGAAACGGGCGGAATCAGGTCTATTCTGATTGGGCCGGGCTGTTGTCAAGCCCTTAACCTGTGTTTGGTAACAATTCGTCACACATATTCCTCTTGTAAAGGGTGTTTCCTAAATATTTCTTTACAGTCCGCATCGCCACCGTGAAAATCCAGCGTTTTTATCCCCGAGTTTGCGTGACCAAGTGTGTTTTTGCAGGCTTGTCTATCGCGCTGATCGCCTTAGTTAAATGTCGTATCAATCTATAAATACCCTTATTCCTGCTTGTCGTTGATATTGATCCCGATAAGTGTCACTAATTAATGTAAACAAAAACCTGCCGACGGAGACAGGGAGATAACTCGATATAAAAACGATCAAAAACAACATGGTCGCATGTTCAATCCGCAAGCAAATAGTGAGAAAAAACAAAATGGCGTCGTAATCGTCGGCTGTCAAGATCAAGATTCAAACGTAGGCTACGACAAGTCACGTGAGCGTTAAACAAACAAATCTGTGCCCACATAAGCCGTTAATTATGCAGAAATGATGCAGCACAGCGGAGTGAGAAAATGTTTTATTTCATTTGTGAGGCAATCAGCGTTCCTCATTGACGTCTATTAACTTAACTATGAAGAATAAACAGATAAAGATGAAATGCAGAGTTTGCCAGACATGCTCGCGTCCCCATGGGAGTTAAAAGGCTAGCAGAAGAGGGCAGAGAGGCGGAGCAGTTTTCATATTACATTTTTCTATTCTTACGCAAATACCACGGGAGGGGAGACTGAATCAATTTGAGACCAGTCTGTCCCCTGTGTGGGGCCAAGCGATGTCAGTCTGTTGTTGGACCCCGCGTGTGGGGTCCCAAGGGAACCTCTGTTTTAATCAATCTGCGCCCCCAGCATCTGCCCCGGGACCATATGGACGCAGGAAGCACATGTTCCCAATGACGTGTTATATCTAATAGCCCCAGAAATAACAGTCTTGCTAGTTTGTGTCGTTTGAATTACACTTGTGAATTATGTCATTAAATCGGGACAATATTATTAAATCTGTGAAAATGTTGGCTGCAATGTATGTACATGATGAACAACGATGAGTATTGGAGATATGTGTACACTTAAGGGGAAATAATATGAAGGTTAATATTTCCAGATATGAGGAGCATTGTATTGTGTATACGGTAAAAAGTAAAGATGTACTTGATTTTTACGAGTGAGTATTGATTTACGCCGCTTTACACAATATTCCAGAAATATCGCTGCGGGGGAACACCAGAAATGGGCTTCACACATTGCACCTATGTGGGGAATCGAACCCGGGTCTTTGGAGTGACACTTTAACCACTAGGCTACTCCACCGCCCACTAGATTTTGTCTTCTTGTTTGTTTGTTTCGAAATGTCCATGTCTATATCTGATATTATTGTATTATTGTCGACCGTTAACATGGCTGTTTCGATTCCTCCACGACACACATACCGATAACATAATATTACAAAAAAGAGCATACAATGCCTCGTATCCTTATCAAATGTTGAGTAGTGTGTTTATCGAAGAGTTTCTGCATGTTCCGTGGTTGTCTGGATCGAAAGCGTTGTTGGCTTGTCGGCTTGACTGACGTGTGTATATGCACGGGAGGTCCGTGCGTTCCAATAGAGAGCATCTCACCCAAGTGTCTTTTGATATCAAAAATATCAAAAGGTGCCGATAAAAGTTTTAAATTCCGGGGCTTAGAGTAGGTTATTCTTTGTATGCCTTACTGACACTTTCAGGGGGAACATGAAGAAAAGACGTATGTGTCAGCCCCACGGAGAAACTTCAATGAAGGCAGCCTTTTGTTTAAGTGATGTAATGTAATCAATGTGTGACGTCATGAACAATGGATGACGCCATATCGTATTTCCCCCAACAATGAAGCACTGTGATTTCATATGGCTTCAATTGGCCAATCAGCTTTGTGAATATGTAGAATAATTTTTAAAAACGAGCTCCCATGTAATACCATTTTTATGAAACGAGTGAATAGTTCTGTTATCAGACGAGCGAAAGCCTATTCACGAGTTTCATAAAATTGGTGTTACACTGGAGTGAGTTTAGAATTATATTTTTTACTTGCCGTTTATAGGTTTTTCTAATTTAACTGTCGTGTGCGCATAGGCAGACATCAGCGCGATCCACAGCTTACTCCAAATGAGATTACCAGAATAATAATTTCAACACGCCAAACATTGGTACCTAATAATTTAATACCATACAACGGACCACCTTTAGAATTCAGGGGTCCGTTCCACAAAGTTATCGTTTGTTAAGTTATCGCACTCCCATAGACTTACGACTGTCGTTGCGCTTCGGTACTATCGCCTTGTGGAACGGGACCCTGCACCAAAATTTACAATTACGTCACATACCCTATGGCGTAATTTGTGGAATTTTGTTGCAAGATCCACCTGCAAAACAAAACCATGTGACGTCAGCCTAGCAACAGGGTTGCTGGGGCCATTGAGTGTGCATAAGGTCCTCTCAGCGATCTGTCATCTCTGCTAGCAATGTCATTGAAAAAGCCCAGGGATGTTGGGAGATTTCAATATGAAGTGAAACTTGTTTCCGCAATACATAAGCTTTGTTTGTTTGTTTGATTGTTTGTTTGTTGTTTAACGCCGCTCAGCAATAGTCCAGCTATATGACGGCGGTCTGTAAATAATCGAGCCTTTCGGCGAGCCTGACCACCCGGTCCCGTTAGTCGCCTCTTACGACAAGCATAGTCGCCTTGTACGGCAAGCATTATTCATAGGTTGCTGAAGACCTATTCTAACCCGGATTTTCACGGGTCATAAGCACGCGCCTTGGTATTAGACAATGTGTAATACAGCTGTATGGTTTTTTTAAATGTATGATGTTTTTGATAAAGCTAAAGTGCACATCTGCAAATATTTGAAAAAATGCATTACTCCCGATCACTTTACCCTTATGGGCAATATTACTTGTTTTATCCCCTGAATACAGAGGGCAAGGAAGGGAAACAAGAATTACCTTTTTTTAGAGTCTTTTGGATCGAAACACCGACCTGCCACTCTTCGGACAGACGTTATATCTACAAGACCACTGCGCGGTCGCAAGTGTTTACACCAGCGCTAGTGAGTGATTAATATCACGAGTATCCACGCATTTTGGATACAATGACGTGCATCAACCAAGTCAGCGAGCCTGACCACCCGATCCCGTTAGTCGCCTCTTACGATAACGCCGAACCAAGGACACAAGGGTACAGCGATAAAGTGGTATCGGCCATGCCTCACTCGGCCACCGACACCAAGGACACAACGGTACAGATGGTGATAACGTGACTTATTTCAAAACTTAGTTTTTATTTGTTTGAAATTGCAACATGTTATTTGTTTCTGCCATATCTTTTTTATGCTATTATAAATCCAATGTTGAAGGTGTTAGAAGCTGCTAGTTGCCACTTACACAAAACACATTCATTCTCGTGTTACCTTCACCTTTTCACGCGACAAAGGTAGAAACGCATGCTTCTGTTCTAACAAACACACCCTTTAAAGATGAACATGCCCACACAAGCTCGACACACACAAACATTTTGTTTGGCAAACTTAGTCTTTTTTACCGACAACCTGAGAATTAATATCAGCAATCCTAAAAACGAACTTAAACGCAAACTTAAAAACTGACTAAACCATCATTAACATCTGTCATTTAAATGTTTTCACCAAAGTATCTCCTTTCTGATTATGAAAATGTAAAAATTAGTTTTTGTCACACACCGTAATTACAGTATTTTACAAACCGGGTCACGTTGATCGGTTTTCACTCCTCAAGATTAATCTTTAATTACCACAACGAATGGGCGTTTCAGATCGTATCCGATGATTACCAAGGGACATAACTCTGTCGATGATTGAATGTGAAACCGTTGGACCATATATCAAGCAATGTAAATCAATGGCGTCGTCTCACTGCGAGTATCACGTTACATAGACAATTGTCGGAGTCAAAACTAACCACCGTGGAAGCGATGACCCCCAAGGATTGAGCCAGACAGGGTGTGATTCTTAGCTGCTTCCAACACCATTCTGACGCCGGGATGGAGAGGATTGAAACAATTAAACAGCTCTCTTGAAAAGTAAAACCGATGATTTCATTAACCATTTGTCCTGCTAATTTTGTTTTGTTATGATTTGCCCTTTTTAATTTTTGTCGTTAACGCGTGTTTTCCTTGATGTAGTACTTTGTGTATCGAAAATAAACCATATAATATATATTTGGTCCATAGGACATTTTTCATTCGTAATATATAGGTCTTTCTATAAAATATGGCTAATCCACCGAGGCTGTTTGATGCATACGTTCCTATCTCATTTATAATATCTGTCAGTGTCTCCCTTGACAGTGTTCATGGCTGATGGATGCATCGACGCCTTCTCCTGCTCCACTGGAGAATCATGGTCTTCTTCAACGACATTGTTAATTAGACCTAACTCCGTCACAAACAAACATTACATTATTGTCCTAGAACCAGATTAATACTTTTATAGTTAATTCCATAATTGAAACGTAACGACTAACCCAGTATTTCTACCTAAGGAAACACAGGGGAAACTCACAAACCACAAA